ATCTCTGCGTCTGAGCTGCATTAGGACTCAGTGTCGGGCATTTAGAAGCGCTGGTGCTGATTGGCTGATCACAGCTTGTAATCTCTTTACGTGTTCAGAGAGAGACACAGTGTTTAGCTGGACAAACCTACTGTACACAGGGGTTTCCACTGCACACCACACAGGACTGGACTGCTCTTTGACCATAAACTATTTCCATATGACAGTCAGGGAATTTCATTTTTTCCCCTGGTATGCTGTAAACACATCTCTGTCAATGAGCTTTTATGAGACCTCAATTTCAAGTTGAGTCTTATGCCAGGTCTGCTGTGTGAAGACGTTGTGTAACAGGATTAACATTTATAGTAACCTATGCTCATTGGCTCAGCCTTAAAAAAGTTGCTATATAAGTACTGTATACTACTTTTCACTCAGACTAGTGTATACAACAACAGTACAGTAATTGCATTTTTTTCAGTTGCATGTGATTATTTTATAGCCTTGTACATGGTTTACTATTAAATATACTATATTAAAAATGCAACATTAAAGAATTCAAATAAATGATAAGATGTAATCTCAGGTCTATATCAGATTTTAATAATAAATTTTTTTTTAATCCAGTTATCTGTAAAATATCTTTACCTTATGTAAGTCTGGATAAATAATAATAGTAGTAGTAGTAATAATAATAAAACAAATTAATAAAAAGAAAAATCAATGAAATTTATGGTGAAAAGATGTCAGCTGTGGTTGCCGGAACTTTGCTGTAAAAAAATATGGTATAGCAACATTTTAGGTTTTACGAATTGAATTAAAATTGACATGAAAATAATGTATATTTCATTAACTGATATAAAGTTAATTTTCCAACCTACTAAAATCTTTTTTTATAAGGTTGTACCTTTATAATATACTGACAACCACTATAAAAATACAGCTGGTAATGAGAAAGTCACATGATGAATCAAAGTTTATCACAAGCTTTTCCACATGCTGAAGTAAACACTAATATATCGGTGCACATAATGTCGTATACACACACACACACACACACACACTCACTCACTCACTCACTCACACACACACACACTCACACACACACACACAACAATTATGTAAAGGGGTCATATGGTGCGATTTCAAGTTTTCCTTTCTCTTTGGAGTGATGAAAGCTGTTCGTGAATAGATAAGATCTGTAAAGTTGCAAAGACTAAAGTCTCAAACCCAAAGAGATATTCTTTATAAAAGTTAAGTCAACCACACCTACCTAAAACGGCTCGTTCTAACACGCCCCCACATGTCTACATCACTGTGTGGGAAGATTTGCATAACGCCGCTCAAATGTTCACGCAAAGAAAGAAGGCGTAACTTTATTGTACAGTATTACACACAATACCAAAAGTCATATATAAGGCAAAACAGTTCCGTTTCTTTTTATTTATTCTCTTTATGTTAAAATGTTTCATTATATGATTTTCATATTCATGTTGGTTTATGTATTTTTGTCTTTTTTTAATTAATTTTTATTTTTATAATCATCCACTTATTTATTAGGGCTGCCAGTAGATTTATCTTATAATTTTCTGGAGTTACTTCTTCTCAGATGCTAAAATTGATCGATTTTGTATCAAAATACAAGCAAGGCAAGGCAAGTTTATTTATATAGCATATTTCATACACAATGTAATTGCTTAACATAGAAAATAAAATGAAAATGATAATAAAATAATCACAACAGATGCATAAGAAATAAGAAAAACAATAAACGATGAGAATAATATACTGAAAATACCAAAAATATTTCCATTTTAAGATACAGAATCATCTGTAGTGCGTTTATCATTTTTACTACAGTCCTCTCGTGAAATCTCCAGCTCACTCGTACCATCTGAACCACTGGAGAAACACCAACCATCCACAGTTCAAACTTCAAAAGTTTAATGATTAAATGAGCAAATTTACATTAGCCTTAGCAAATTTATAATTCTTAAAGGGACAGTTCACCCAATTATTAATAACATTACATTTCATGCAATAAATGCTATTTATTGTCATTTTAGCATGATTTGAAAGACCCTTAAAGGGATAGTTCCCCCAGAAATGATAATTACCCCATGTCTTACTCCCCCTCAAGCCATCCTAGGTGTATATGACTTTCTTCTTTCAGACGAATCCAATCTGAGTTATATTAAAAAATGTCCTGGCTCTTCAGAGCTTTATAATGGCAATGAATGGCTGTTGAGTCCAATAGAAGTCCAAAAAAGTGCATCCATCCATCATAAAAAGTCCTCCACATGGCTCTGGGGGTTAATAAAGGCCTCCTAGAGTGAATCAATGCATTTGTGTAAGAAACATATCCATATTTAAAATTTTATAAACTGTAATCTCTAACTTCCACTAACTTTTGTACGCAGATTCACAAAAGAGTGGCATTCTAGCGGATGGCGTATAGGACATATACTAGCATAGAATATGCTAGTCTCGCAAGAACCAAATTTTGTTAACAGCAAAGGAAAACCAGTCTCCTCTTGGCTTATATCAAAATCCTCCGACATTTTCCTTTACAAATCCTCGTTTTGTACTTTTAATTAGTGACCAGTGTTTTGCTCTCTCCTCCGTCCTACATCATCCACTGAAACCCCACTCTCTTGTGAACGCATGAGCGACGGTTAGCGGAAGCTAGAGATGACTGTTTATAAAGGTTTAAATATGGATTTTTCTTAGGCCTTTATTAACCCCCCGGAGCCATGTGAGGCACTTTTTATGATGGATGGATGCACTTTTTTGGGCTTCAAAATCTCAACACCCATTCACTGCCATTATAAAGCTTGGAAGAGCCAGGAGATTTTTTTAAATATAACTCAGATTGGATTCGTCTGAAACAAGAAAGTCATGTACACACGTCATATACACCTAGGATGGCTTGAGGGGGAGTAAGACATGGGGTAATTTTCATTTCTGGGGGAACTATCCCTTTAAGGGTCTTTCAAATCATTCTAAAATGACAACAAATAGCATTTATTGCATGAAATGTAATGTTATTAATATAATAATAATAATAAATATTTAATACGTTGACACATTAATTTGGCAGCCCTAATATTTATTTATTATTTTAACTTAATTATGCCATGATTTCATTTGTTTCTGCTTCATCAGTGTTTGATTTAGTCTCTTGTTTTGCCCTGTGTGTGTGCTGAGCTGTTGAACATGTCTTTTTAGGGAACCTCCAAAAGAAGACACAAAGCCTCAGCCAGCTCAGTGAGTACAAGACAACTCTTCCAGCGTACTTTAAGCTCTCAGCCTTCCTTTTCCACCCTTTGCTGTCTGTGACACATTCCTGAGAGCTGACCTGTGATCAGTTATTTGGCTCTATGATGTCCTGTAGTCGGTACACTTGTATAGCATCACCTCTACTTTTCTTAATACAGTGCTTTTACTGAAACTGTTCCTGCTTTCTCCCCCCTTACTAACCTTTTTATCCATTCAGTAGCACACTCGTGTTGCTCTAGTGATCCATGTGTACATGTCAGCTGCTCCTCCACAATGCTCCAGTAATACAGCACTACTGTCCTCTTGTGATTCATACTCAGCTGCTGTCGTATTGTGTCTTCTTTCTCCTCTCTCAGTCCTAATGCTGCTGTTTCTCCGATCACTCATCTCTCGTTAGTCAATTCTAATGCATTACTCTCTTGTTTGTCAGTAAAATTATGTGAGCATCCTTCAAACAAGATCAGTTTACTTAAGTTAAAATGGCATTAGAGTTGTTTTAAGAGACTATATATTTAACAAAGATATTTTAATTTGTAAAAAATATACCTTAGTAAATTTTGGTATCGGTAATTTATTTTTAAAACAAAATAACAAAAACTATTATCTAAAAGTTTAATGTCTGTTGTTCCGAAGTACATTATTATATATTATTAATATGATTAATTATTAATATATATTACACATATTTCATTAATTCATAAATACTTACATACATAATCTTATTAACTCCAAACTTTTGAACCGTAGTTCAAACATTGATAGTCTATTCAAAATTGAAACTCTGCTCACTATTATGTCATTCTAAACCTGTTTGACTTTCTTTTTTAGAACACAAAAGGAAATATTATATCCTAGCTGAAAAAGAGCAGCGTAAACAGTCTGTTCAACATCCTCTTTTGTGTTCAGGTTTGCAGTGACATGAAGGTGTGTAAATGATGAATTTTCCTTTTTGGATGAACTGAAATTAACAGCTAGAAGATTCGACACACACACACTTACAAACAGTTGCAGTCAAGCATTACAGCACCGTTCAACAAAATGTTTTGGGATTCCTTGGTGTCGTGAGGAAGAGAGAGAAACACATCCCTCGGTTCTTGCCACTTGATGTTGCTGTGCTTGTCTGAACAGGTGGAACCCTTTCAGTGGAATCACTGAGCTGGTTAGTAATGTTCTTCAGCCCCAGTCAAAGTCCCCCAGTGAGGAGCAGCCAACGCCGTAAGTACAGTTGATACTGAAAGTGCTGCTGAAAGTAGATAGTTTAAAGGAATAGTTCACCCAAAAATGAAATTTGCTGAAAATGTACTCACCCTCAGGCTGTCCAAGATGTAGATGAGTTTGCTTCTTCATCAGATTTGGAGAAATGTAGCATTTCATCACTTGCTCACCAATGGATCCTCTGCAGTGAATGGGTGCCGTCAGAATGAGAGTCCAAACAGCTGATAAAAACACCACAATAATGATTAAATAATTATCTCCTGATTCAGTCAAAATGACTTTTTCACTGGAGGAAGCATTATTATGGATAGAGGACTCATGTTTACGCCAGAGGCAACGGTTTGAAGTTAAAAATGTCTTAATGATGGATTTGTTTCTTACAAACATGCAGCATTTCACTTCACAAGACCTTAAAAGGGACATCGGATTCTCATTTACCACAAGTCGGTATGATTCTTTAGGGTCTTCATGAAATGTCTGTAACATACTTTGGTTAAAATTCATCAATAGTCGTGTAAAACAACACCCTTTATCCCATGTCAAAAACAGTTCTGTTCAAAGCGAGCCGTTTCGGTGCATGTCTCTTTAAATGATAATGAGCTACTGCTCACCCCGCCCCTCTCTTCCATTTTGTGTGTATTCGGTGGTGTGCTGCCATCAAAAATAAAACGAATCCACTGCGTCCTCAGTGGCTCTGATGTCGGGAGAAATTGAAGACTCTTATGTTCACATCCAACTACAAAACACCTTGACTCATATTCATGAAAAGTCTCAGAGCAAAGTGTTGTCCTAGTGACAAAATTCAAAGAAAATTCGTAGAAAAGTGGGCGTTTCCCCTTAAAATGAAAGAGAAGATCCTAGTAAAGATAAAAGTTATTCACAAAGCATCTTAACCCTTAAAAGAGCTCTTAAGGTCCAAAAGTGTTAGGAGTAGAGAGAAGGACTTTTAAGAGGCTTAAAAGTTTCTTTAGCAGAGGAGAAAATAGCCGAAAGACTAAGAGGGAGAAGAAATGTGCTGCTTAATTAGACACTAGATTAGATTGTGCAACAGGGATCATGTTTGTGACCGGTCTTATTAGAGACACAACAACATCTATATATATACAGTATATAGATAGATAGATAGATAAATTACCAAATCATTTTTTATGTTTCTGTAATGGTTAATCCACCAGTATGTGTAAGCTCTTTAGTCACAGTAGTTAGGATTTAATGGGTCGGCCCCGCCTCCTCACTAAGATGAAAGTTTTTGTCTTTTCCTCGCTCAGAGTTGCTCTCAGATTGGTCGGTCTTATTAGAAACACAACAACATCTATTTATATATACAGTATATAGATAGATAGATAGATAAATTACCAAATAATTTTTTATGTTTCTGTAATGGTTAATCCACCAGTATGTGTAAGCTCTTTAGTCACAGTAGTTAGGATTTAATGGGTCGGCCCCGCCTCCTCACTAAGATGAAAGTTTTTGTCTTTTCCTCGCTCAGAGTTGCTCTCAGATTGGTCCTGAATCCCTCTTAAAGCTGCAGTCCGTAAGTTTTGCCTCTTTGTCGCCATCTCTGTTTGAAAACCTGGAATTGCAGCTGTGTGCAGAATTATCTAGCTTGCGTGGGTTGTGAGTCGGCGTGGCTGCAGCGCGGATGAATCCAATGTTCTGAAGAGTATGTGTGGCAGTCAGTCACCGCACTGGTGTGGATATTTACTGTACTTCGCAATCACAGATTCTAGCCTACGTCTTGGAATATGACTCAAATAAGCATTTTCACTGGATATTGCCATCTGAACAAGTAAGTAACAAGTCTGCCACATTTGTTCTGACCAACTGAGGAAAAAAGCATTACCATAAATCTCGCTACCAATGGTGATTAAATCTAAAGATCGGTTAGCTCATATCACATCAAACCGTGTGAATGATTATTACTGTTATACTTTATTCTCAAATTATTAATGTTAACAACATCAGCATTGCGTGACTGTGTGTATTTGCGTGTAGATTTCAATTTCTGTACAGTCTAATATCTAATTGTCAT